TTCAAGATTAAGGAAAGTATTTCATCATGTTATATACACAATAAGAGGAAAAATAAAAGAAAGAGATTGAGAAAAGAGAAATTTAGACCTGTTAAAAGATAAACTGAGGAACATTAAAACTTTTGAGAGTTTATTTGAACAAAAATCTATTAGAATTGGGCAACACCAAACCAGAAGGGGTTATGAGTGCTTCAGGAACTCCGGGAGAGACTTTTATAGAGAAAAGGCAGAAGCAAGGCAAGGAAATTATTGATTGACTATAGCTTAAGGACTAGTTGACTGTCAGTGATTGATTGTCTTTAGCATTTTCATTTCATAACCTTCAGGCATTTATAGGTTTAGATTTTAGTTTGCTTACATAGGCCATCATTAGAGCATCAGAACCACATCAGTCTAATGGCCCCATTAATTAATTTAACCATTCCCCTTATTTGGTCATCCTCTCATACATGAGAGATTAACCAAAAATTTGGTTATTAGTGCCACTCTCAGTCCCCATCACAGTTAAATTATTCTTGTCTCATTGTGAAACTCATAGATTATGATGTCAGACTCACGGGAGAATTGTTTATGCTGTTCATCTCATTGTTCATCTTGTTTCTGTTTCTCTAAGCACAGTGAGATCATCTGATGTACTGCTGATAGCTCTGAACATGCATTTAAGAACTTTGACAGACCATAATGTACCAGGGAGACTGCAATGGTAAGTATTATTAGGGTAATACCAAAAGACTGACATGCACTCCTTAGCTAGCGCTCCTATGAGCCAAGCCCGTTGGTATCAAATAAATCAAAGAATGTAACTGAAGGGGCACCAAGCTGTTTTAGCCATGTAGCTTGTTTCTTATATTTGCTATAGTACCAGAGATGATCTAGGTACAGACGGAAGCATTTGCACAGGCTCCTTGTTCAGCCAATAAGCATTTTAAAGCAATTCTATTATCTAAAACAACCTTAGCAAGAAAGTCTAGGGACTTTTGTTCTTTTATGGCCTTAGCAGTAGATTCAACACCAGGATTAAGGAGCACTGTCTTCCCTTTATTAACAAGAGAAAAAGCAAGGAGCAAAAAGGCAAAAGGAATAAAGGTTTCATACTGGAAATGAAAATCTTATCCTTCATCTTGGGCGACCTATTTACCTCAAGATGTTTTCTACTCCTGGGAGGAAACTATTTTAATCTAGATCTCCAGCTGGTTCCAAGAGCTGGGCAGAACCCTTCTTAACTGGGGCATGTGGACCCAAGGTTCAGGTTCCTGAAGTTTGGTTATTACCTGGGTAGTGAGAAGGACCTGGTATGGTCCCTTCCAAGGAAATTCAAGGGCCATTTTTATTCTTAATTGATTCCAAATCACAAGGGTGGAAGAAAACTAGAAACATTAGTTTGGAGAGATATAGCCAGATATTTGAGGAAACTAGAAGAATCTGGGATCCAGCTTGGTTTGCAGAGACAATGAACAGACCTAGAATCTGATATCCACAAGATTGTTATAATTTTCTATTGAAACATAATTTTTTACTCTATAATCACCATCATTTCTATCAAAGATAATCACAGTAAGACTAATTTGTTTGCAAAATAAGTCAAGTCTCATTAAACTTGTAAATATTATTTACACAAGTGCATCAAGAATAGTGACTGACCACATAGGCTCTTTTAAAGTCTACTTTGCTGGAAATTTTCATAAGGTATCTTAGATTAGACTTTTAAAAGCCTCTCCAGTCTAAGAAGTCAAGCCCAGAACCCACCATCAGATTTCACCAGAAGTACTTATAGATTTGGGTGAATTCCTCTCTTCTTGTGGTCCCCAAGATATCCTAAGGTTACTGGGCCCACCAGGGAGCAACCTTCCTTACTCACCTGGTAAGGCTCCCAGGAACCTTGTACATAAGGTACCAAAATAGTTTTTCCAAGGGGCTTTTAATGGCTCCATTAAGTCAACCTTAGTTTCTCAAAACTATCTGGTCATATCTGATTTTACACATATTCTCAAATATGACATTCCAGTCAAGCCTTGGTAATATAACCAATGTTTCCAATTGTGTGTGTGATTTGGGGAAGTTCTTAGAATGTCAAAAAGATCCTATTTGGCTAAATAGGATCTCAGATCATTATGAAACAATACTTATCTATTTAACTAAAGTGACAACAGAAAATTTTAAAGGCAAAAATAGGTTACACAGTTGTGAAAAAAACGCAGTTCTTTTAATATTGAGAAGACTGGGTTTTCTTAAGTAATGAAAAACCTCAAAAAGACAATGTGAAATATAGTAAATTACTTTGGCAAGACACAAAATCTTTGCTTTCCATGTAGATTGTCCAAAAGGTAAGAAAACAGAAACAGAACACATATAAAAGAACCAAAAAATTTCACAATCTCTTATCAAGAGCAGACTAATGGTACAAGAAACCATACTCTTTTTTTTTAAGAGGGAGAGAGGGAGAAAGAGATAGAGGCAAGGGGTAGGCAGAGGAAGAGGGGAAGAGGGAGAGAATCAAGTGGACTCCACACCCAGCACAGAGCCTAAAGTAGGGCTCCATCTCACAACCCTGAGATCATGATGTGAGCTGAAATGAAGAGTCAGATGCTTAACCAACTGAGCCACTGAGGTGCCCAAGAAAACCATCCTTTTAACAAAGAGATAACCAAATTCTAATTTTGTACCACGGCACTTTTAATATTAAAGCTCATTCTTCAAAAACATAAATCTGTTCCAATTTTAGTTATCTTGACCACACATAAAATTCCTTATCCAAGATTCCTTTTCTACAAACCTTCCAAACTTTTTAAATAATCCATTCGAGTTTCCTTTCATCCTTATTATTTCTAAGTAGTTTATTTGCATATATTGATTAGAATTCTGAATGCTTAGAATCATTTATTCCTAGTGGAAACTAAGAAATAAGCAATTGTGGAATGTCTGCAGCCTGTAGATTGGCAAATTTATAAGTACATTTCACAATTTCTAGAAATATATTTTTCTTCATAGTAAATTATTCAATGTGACACAAAACATGTTTACTAATAGACCCAAATATCTTTAGTTCCTCTGTAAAAGAAAGCCAAAAGTGAATAAACCTGTGTCCAGTAACTAATGTTTCAGTATTTTATCTTATTTGGAAATGATCTTGCTTTTCAGGGAAACCTAGGTGGAATAAAAGTATTGTATTTAATGCTGATATCTCTAAAAACATGACTTGTTTTTATTAAACCAACAAGCTCATACTAGCTTTTTTTTTACTGAACATTATCCTAGATCACAGGAACTTGAAAAACATTTTTGTTAGTTTCTATATTTCTGAGAATATACCTGATTTGTATAAATGCTTATTTGTTTCTAAGCCAATTAAATAGAGCGCTTTACAAATTAATTTTGGCAATAACATCCAGCGTGAGAAAAATATCACACATCTATCTATAATTTACCTAAATAGACATACATACTGTTTTACAATATCTGCAAGTCTCATGAGAAAAATAGGGGACATATTGCTATTGGTATAAAGGATAGGTGGGTTTTGAATAGTTTCTAGAGCAACATTTGTAAAGACTCCATTTGTAAGACAAATACAGTTGTTTTTAATTCCCCAAAGAATTTGATTGCAACCTGAATGATATAAAGAAACTGATTCAGCCATCCAACTACATTGTCCTCAATTTGCTTCTTTATACCAGGGAGATCTTCAACTAAGATGGAAATCAAAAGATTCCTATGTTCTTGATTTAGAGGTGCATTTGTTTGGAATGTTTTAATAAATCCTTCCACAATGGCTTCAGAATGTTTTTCTTTCCCTTTAGGTACATAGTTTCATTAGGAAAGAAGGCCTAAAAGTTCCCATCAGGTTCTGAATATCAGCTTTCAATCTGGCCAACATCTGACCATAGACCTACTTTAAGAAAAAACAAAAAACCCAAAAACCTTTTGAATGTCTTGCAGGTTTCAGCCACGACAAACAGTAAATATTCTTAACATGGACTCCCAAAGGTAACCAAAAGAAAGACTTGGACAATTTCCCTGAGAGGTGAAAAAGAATGGTAATGAATAAGGGACAGGCAGGGCTAGGTAGGGAGAGATAGGTAGGGGGCCATGGGATCAGGCTCACAAAATTCAAAATGTGGGAGATGAAAGGAAACCAGAGATAAGGGACAAACCTGACCATCCTGTCCTAGGTGTCAGAGGTGAGGTCTTGTTATAACAGCTACTTAATGACCAACCAAGAATTACCCGGATCCTAAAAAGGAAGTAAGCCATTGAAGGTGTTATCACTAGTCCTTACTCAATGGTGCTATCAATAGAGATGTTAAAAAGATTTAAGTTCCCAGGTTAGCTTTCTATAAAAGACCATCCCTAAAAGCCCTCAGTGGCAACCGTGTCGGGACCCCTCGTACTCCTGAGAGCTTTTTTCTGTATCCTTACACAATAAACTTCTATCACTTTACTCACTCTCCGTTGTCCCCGAGAGTCATTCTTTGACTCCGTGAGACAAGAACCTAGCTCTCCCGCATCAGTAAGACCCTTGCTGCAAACGGAGTGCTACCCACATTTGTGTCTGGCCATATTCTGGGGATTCCCCAACCAGATGGTTGCCATGCCTAGTTCTCAGCACAAAACGAGACAAACTACATGCAATAGCTGTCCCTGGGAAAGAAAGCACCAGGAACTAATGTTTTCGTTTTTGTTTTCCTGCCCATCTTAATTTGGAAAGGAAGAGACAACGTGAAATTTTATCATCCTCTTTAGCTGGGCCCCACAGAGGTCTGGGAGCGCTGACCATGTTAAGAATTCTTACCTTTTGCCAGCTTCTGTCAATTTTCCCAGGTTCCCATCTCCAGGCTTTGCAGCCAGTCAACTGCCCCAACAGTTTTCACCTTCACCGGAAACTGTAGAGGAGGTCCAATTTAAGTCGGACCCAGTCTGACCCCGGAAGGAGTCTGGTTTCTATGTGGGACCCAGTCTGATCCCGGAACCAGTTCCCGGAACGGGTGCGGTTCTGTCAGATCTGTCCAGCCCTATGAAACCAGCCCGGTTTTCAAGTCAGACCCAATCTGACTGTGGTGGTTTCTGGACCCAGTCTGCAAAAGCAGTTCTCAAAGTTTGAAAGCTCATAATGCAAAAGCTACAGAACTGGGATCCAGAATCCGTCAGACACTCCCCCACCTGCTCCAGCCACCTTGAGAAAGCGGCGTGCTCAAGCGGCTGCTCAGGTACCCAAGCCTTGTTGCTGTTGCTCCTGGGAGCCCTCGGGGGTCCCCCTAGGTTCCCTCTTCTGATTCCAGAACTACTAAAAGAAACTGAGCCATATTAAAACTTTTAAGGGAGGTTTTTTTTGTTTTTTTTAGCAAAAATATTAGAGTTGGGTACCGCGAAACAGGAAGTGATTAAGAGTGCTTCACAGATGGGGGCAGTTTATCAGAGCGAGCGAGAGCTCACAAGCAGGGGGAATGGCAAGCAGAGGGAGAGGGAGAAGCAAGTTTCCTGCCGGGCGAGGAGCCCCAGGTCAGGCTCGATCCTAGGAGCCTGGGCTCATTACCTGAGCCAAAGACAGAAGCTTAACCAACTGAGCCACCCGGGTGTCCCATAGGGGAGAGACTTTTATAGAGAAAAGGCAGAAGCAGTGTAAAGAAATTATTGATTGGCCATAGCTTAAAGCCTAGTTAGCTGTTTGTGATTTGTTGTCCTTAGCATTTTGGTTCCGTAAACTCGAGGCATTTTACAGGCTCAGAATTTGGTTTGCTTACATACACCACCACAGTATTAGATTCACATCAGTCTAATGGTCACCTTGTTTAATTAATTTAACAGGTAAAATTCAACATTAGTTCCCCTTTACTGGCTTTAAAAGTAGGATTCAGATTTCTGCTTCAGTCAGTTCTAGTCTGAATAAATTTATAGCAAGCAGTAAAGGTAAAACTATTTTTAACTTCTGGATATAGGTGACTGTAGTAGCTATATTTTATTTTTTGTTGTTGTTTTCTGAATTTGGTCATCTTTCAAGAAAGAAAAAAGGTAAGCACGCACACACACACCAAAATGGTATTTTTATTATAATCACCTCTGTTAATATGTCATAATTTTGACTTTTTGTGAGTGAAATTGAAACAAATTATTTAAAATTATACTTCATTCCACAGGAATAGAAATGTCATCAAATTAATAGAGGACAAAGGATGAGAAAGTACTTTTAAAACTGCTCATATTAATGTGTCAGTATTAGTAATTCAATTTTTATTTAGAAATCCCATATATAGGCTCTATATAGTAGCAGTCAAAATGATTCTAATGAAGCCAGCAATGATTCTTCTTAAAAAATATAACTAACTCATATATACAAATGGGTTGTCATCTTTAGTTTTATAATTACATTTATGTAATAAAGCAGTATTTTAATATCCCCATTGAAGGCTGCCTTTCACTATTAAGGATAGGTTTGATTCATATTCATATTCAAAAGTCTTTTGAAGTCAGGTCTACATTCATGTTACAAACAAACTGCAGCTTCAGTGTTGGCTCCTTGATGGACAGGAATGAGACTCTCTATTGTTCATCTTTCAAACTAGAGAAAAACTGGAAAAATAATTCACAAGTAAAAACTCATTAACTTCTCCTTGACTTTTTAAAATTGAATGATCAGTTGAGGTCCAACATTTTTTCACCAAAATAGATAGCTTTATAATAAAAGAAAATGACTAATTGTCCTATGTTCGTTAAAAAAAGGATTGTTCTCATGTTCTTATGATGAATGTTCTATATTCGAACACTACTTTTTTGATTAGTAATACATTATATACATTATACATTCATTAATATTTTGGGTTTTTTAAACTATTTTTTACTATTTTTTAGTCTTTATATACCAAAATTGCTCTACCAATCCCTATTCATGAAGACTAGGATGTCTGCAACTTTTCACATACTAGAACTATAATTTTTTATGTATTTGTCCATGACCTATATAAGATAATATATCTTAATGACAAATATATAAAATGACGCATACATAAAATATGTGACAAATATATAAAATATATGACAAATGTTTAAAAATGTATGAATATATATGACAATTATATAAAATATGACAAATATTTAAAAATATATGAACAGTATGTATAAAAATTATATGATTATTGCTTTAAGAAAAATTCCTAGACATGCATTATTCAGTCAAAAATTTTAAACATTTTAAGATTTTTTAAAAAATATAGACAACATTCTTTTGAGGTTTTGTACCATTATATTTTCACCAGACTCTATAGTAGAGGAGGAGTGGGTTTGGAAAAAGATACAAATCTTTTTGAAATAATGAGTAAATATTCATCTAAGCCATCATAATGAGATGTGTCAAAAGAGAGGTTCAGATTAATGATATATAAGTGTTGGCGCCCTTAGCATATTGTTCATAATCAAAACTGTTAGGGTGGATAATGTCATCTAAGTAGATTAGCCTGAGGAGAAATGATTTGGGGTAAAGTTCTAACGAATTTCACCATGTATAGTTAAGCATAAGAGGAGGAGTCTTTAAGGAGACAGAGAAGGAAAACCCATAGGTGTAGGAGAAAAATCAGGAAACTATAGTGTCACAGAAACCAAGAAAGAACTCAAGAAAGAAGAAATGGTAAGCAGTATCAGCCAAAATTTATCCAACATTATAGAAGTTAATGTGAGCTACCTGGAAAATTGTATAAAACTGAAGATAATGAGGGTTAGTGGACAGAATGAAAACAAAAATAAGGAAATTATGTTTTGATAAGTTGATATATAAAAATGTAGGATGCCATTGAAATTGTTACAGGGTATAAATTTATATAAAGATGCTTATGCTTAATAAGTTTGAATATTCAAGGAAGATATGGATTGAAAGCATTCCTTGGGTTTGGTGACATGATGTTGACTATGATATTCATGAGAACAGTTTTAGTAAAATGGTAGGATTTAAGTTTCATAGGAAGGGTGTTGTAGAATAAGAGAGAATAAGTGGGAGATAAGTATGTAGAATTTATTTTTAAAATTTGACTGTGAAGAGATGGAAAGACTAAAAAAAAATTGTGGTCAGCAGTAGTCAGAAGTTCCCAATAAGCTTATAAAACATGTAGTAAAAATAATAGATTAATTAAAAGATTGTGGTACTTAAGATGTTAGAATTATTGGAGGGTGTGGTCCTCAAAGACATGGAGATGATGGACTTGGGAATTGGTTATGCATTTTTGTGGAATAGGAAATTATAGAAGGATGGTTTAGGATCTTGGATAGAAACTGCAGGTAGGTGCCAAAGAATGAAGCAAATGGGTGTCTGTGTGTGTCAGGGGGTGAGGGGTTAGGCTGGGGATAGTGGTGATGCAAGAGATTAAAATGGCAGCTTGGGCACATAAAAACAAAAATACTTTAGGCAAATATACTTTATTCCTTTGTGATAGTAATATTTTCTAAGTCATTTGATCTGAATGAGATTTAGCCTTCCTAAAGACAAGTGCATAATATTCCATTTTCTCCATAAATAAAAAGAACTGCACAAAGATACCACCCATTGTAGAGCATACAACGGTTAAAGATTATCTCTTGATTCTTTGTATAAATAGTAGATAACGCTGTTAAATTGAGTATTGGATGAACCCAGAGTTAACAGTAAAAGTTTAGTTGGAAATATGTTGCTTCTAAAGAAACATCGTCATTTAATTTTCATTTCTATTTAATAAGTATTAGAATAAGCAATAATTATAAAAAATCACCATGGTGTTACCTTCTTTTTTAAATTTTATTTTATTATGTTATGTTAGTCACGATACATTACATCATTTGTTTTTGATGTAGTGTTCCATGATTCATTGTTTGCGTATAACACCCAGTACTCCATTCAATACATGCCCTCCTTAATACCCATCACCGGGCTAATCCATCCCCTCCACCCCACTCCCCTCTAAAACCCTCAGTTTGTTTCTCAGAGTCCATAGTCTCTCATGGTTCGTCTCCCCCTCCGATTCCCCCCTTCATTTTCCCTTCCTACTTTTTTTTTTTTTTTAACATATAATATATTATTTGTTTCAGAGGTACAGGTCTGTGATTCATCAGTCTTCATGGTATTACCTTTTATCTCAAAATCATCCCAATTATGGGTCAGATATTGAGCAGTACTCAGTTGCTATCATCACTACAGTCTGTTTGACAGCAGTGAGATTGCAGAAGACAGATAAAAAGCTTGTAGTCCTCTTACTAGACACACTGAAGGGTTTTATTGTAACATAAATAAATTCTATCATTTTTGATTTTTTAATATCTTCTTTCTTCCTAAATTGATAACCATTAGTGAACTTTTAATGAAAAAGCATGTTCTACTATTTTATATTATCATTAATTTCTCAAACAAAATGCCAGACTACATTATACACTACCATGGTTTACAAACCAGCTTCAGATATAAAGCACACAACATATTGAAGCTCCTTTAATACTCCCTATCCCATTTTCTTTCCACATTATTCATCCCTACAGAGTCTATTATCATTAATTTTACATTTCCACATGTATTCTCAAACTTTTAATACATATGTATGTATCCATAAACATTTTATATTTTTGTATTATAAAGATTTTATTTATTTCATATATGGAGAGAAAGAGATAGTGAGAGCAAGCGGGGTGAAAGGTGGCGTTGGGGGGAGAAGAAAAAGGAAAGAATCCCATGGACTCTATGCTGAGCGTGGAGCCCAGTGTGGGGTTTGATCTCATCACCCTGAGATCACCACCTGAGTCAAAACCAAGAATCAAATGCTTCACCTACTGAGCCACCCAGGCCCCCCTGTATTATAGATTTAAAATTAAATACATTATAATAGTTTTGTATAATTTTTAGTTGATTCATTTATGAAATTTATCTGTGTTGATAGTGTAATCAAGTTCAAAATTTTCATTAATTAGCATTTTTTAATACCTTTATACCACATTTCCATTATAAATTCTTCCAGCAATGGATATTTGGTTTGTTTCCAATTTTTTCAGTTTTGTAAATGATATTGTCATATTACTATACATGTCTACTTCAGCACATATGCAGGTATATCTTTTAAGCATATACTTTATATTTTATATATTATAATTTTAATAATATAATATGTTTTACTATTTTTAAGTAATAGCATGTAAATATAAAACATTAAATTATAAGGTATATGTAAATATAAAATAAAAGGTAAAAATTATAATTTTATTA